TCTAGATTTATCCATTTAAATTTATTTGATAAGTTGTTCAATTTAGAATTCAAATTAATTTAAGTTTGACTTAAATTGAAATTTGAATTTGAGTCAAAATTGGACTACAGGATAAAAGATGATTTTTTCTCTTCCTTCCCTATCAGAATTGGCGCCACACACAGGGTTAAAAAACCCTAAGGGTGGCCGGCTACATTAGGGATAATGTGAGGAAATTTTGTTGTTCCAAAATTCAAAATTGGAGATAGGGATTTGATTCTATTTTGAAGTTTGACTTCTACTCTTTAAATATGAGAATGATAGAAAATTGTGGACACAATTTTTGAAACATATTTTTCAGCCCTAAATTAATTGGTGGCCGAATTTCTCTAAGCAAAAAAGAGAGAAAATATTTTTCTCCAAAAATTTCACATCGTGCATGCGTTGGTGTTTGTGGAAATTCGAGTGTTTAAGAAACCTATTTTTGTCTCACGTGTGCCCACACACACGTCTACGTGGAATCAAGAAATTGACGTGGAAGACTTTGGTATTCTAAACACAAACTTGGAATAAGGACTGTTCGTGGTCAAAGAATTCAAGTTATTATCCGAGTCGGCTTCCAGGTATTTTTTCAGATTGAATTCTTGATGTAAATTAATGCGCTTAATTTATTCGTGCATAAATTAATATAATCTATAGAGTATCTCAAAAGTTTTATGAAAATTTTTGTTATACACAATCCGCCTTTCCCCACGCTTCCGCACCCGAATTCGATTCGGGAACCAACAGAACGGTGGCGAGTGGAGAGGAAAGAAGAAGAAGAAACTGGCGTGAGGCGGTGGTCCGGTGGACTAAGGTCAGGCGGTGGTCCGGTGGACTGAGAAGCGGCGGGGAGGAGAGTTGAGAGAGAGTGGAGAAGAGAAGAAGGTTTGTTGCTGCTGGGTCTCGTTTTTGAATGTGGGCGGCTGGGGTTGGGGAGATACAAACAAATTAGGGTTAAAAGTTGAATAATATATTAATATAATAATATTGAAACATTTTTAACCCAGGTAATAAATGGGTGATAAACGGGTTGTATAATCGTGTCACCCAAATATGACACGTTTAATATACGGGTCATTACGGGTCAATTATGGGTTGGCGGGTCAACTTAAAAATGACCCGTTATTTAATCGTGTTTCACGGGTTCGACCTGATTTTGACCCGGACCTATTTATGATAAACCTAAACCCGCTAATTTCGTGCGGGTTTCGAGTCGTGAGTTTTCACTATTTTCTTTCTTCTTTGATTATAGAGTCTTTGTTCTCTCAGTTTTTCATCATCCTTTCTCTCTAGGGCCTTACCCCTTTTATATCTCACAGATTACACATTAAAGGAAACCGAGACAAATGGTTATCTGACGGTTTCTCTCGAGTAGCCTATTATCCTACTCATCTAGACTCTAGCTTTTTAGTACCTTTTGGATGGTTCATGTACCTACTTTGTCAACTATTGTGGCTTTGTGGATCTCCCGTGATTTCCATTGGTCTGTTTTAGGCAGCTAATAGGCTTGTAATCATTTTCTCTACTGTTGACTTCCCCAAGCCCATAAGTAACCTATGGATTTCCCTCATATCACCTCAGGGGATACTCTCAGGATTTGGGTCAGATGACTGAACATCCTGCCCTCTGCATCCCCACTGGGCCTCCACGACGAGTCAAAATGGAATCCTTCCATATCGTCGTCAGTCTATGGGGACTTAGGATTCGCCTCCGCCTTGACTGTTTCATCAATCGACTGTCGGCTTGGATGTTATTGGTTACAATCTTGCTGTTGTTGAGTGTTTCTTCAAGAATTATTCTAAAACGCTTTAGGACGGTCGACCCTACTCTCATTGGTACGACACTCATCTTTGAAAGCTGACCCTTCAACCGTCAGCGCCTATCCGTTGGCTGCCGTGGCATGGTAATGGCCACGTGGAACCCGGTTGTTGTCCGATGTGGCAAGGTAGGTTTTCTCTCACAACAATTATCACACATATTAATGAAATAAACCTGCATTTGTCATGTTTATTTATTTATTTGTTATTACTATTTTGAAAAGATTACTATTATTATTATTATTATTATTTTGTGAAAGTGAAAAGGGCCATTATGAAACAGGTAAAACACCAACAACACTAATGTCTTAAAAAAACTGTAGGTGTGTTTGGAATTAGTTTTAAAATAATTTTATTTTTAATAAAAAGTAAAAATGAGATTGTTCTGAGACCGATTCTAAAATTACGTTTAGTTAGTTTTTAAGAGATTGTTTTGAGTATAATAAATAAGTAAAATCGTGTTTATTAATTAATATATTATAATATTATTAATAAGTATTAAAAAATAAAAACAGAAAAATAAAAACAATTTTTAACTATTTTTTAATTTATTCATAAATTTTAATTTTTAAAACATTTGTTAAATATTATTTTCATTTTTATTTTTTAAAAATTATTTTTAAAAACGGTTCGAAACACGTACTACAATGTAGCACTTGAAACACATTGGCTCTTCGACCAACCACGGAGCTATCTCCACGTGTCAAGATTCCATTGGATTATATGTGGGTGGAACCCACCACTAGTACCACTCCAATTGGTTATGGCGTTAATTTAGACAAGCAGTTAACATCGTGGACGTCGCGCCTTTGGAATCTCGCCGTCTCCAAAGTCCTCTACACCTTAAAAAACGTTAAACGTGCCGCCCACCCAAACGCCTCCCTCATGTTACCACGTGGCACACCATGATTGGACCATATTCTTTCCATATTTAATTAAAAATAAATAAATGGATTAAATTTTAAATGTCCCACAAATATCATTTTCTCACGCATTGTTTCGGGTAGAAAATGGTCACCCTATATTCATTTCGTTTGGGATAAAAAACTATTAATTTTACATGTAAATCATTTCCACTATTTTTTTTTTTTTATTCATGTTTCATTGGATACAATAAGACAAAACACGAAATAACATCTTATCTTTTTTCTTTTCATGTAATCAACGTGAAAGAATTGCAATGATGTTTCTATACATAGACGTGGTCAAACAACAGTATGATTATTGTCAACCAAATTCCTTAACCACAGTGCTTTGATGGGCTCGTTATCGACTTTAGGTGGCCATTCTTCTATCATTAGCTTTGCCAAAAAGCCCTTTTGACTTCCATGTTTTTTACAGGTCGACAGCATGAGTTAAAAAAAAAACATATATAGTACAAGAATTGCTAGTCACCGTTGGTTAACCGCGTCCAACGCATCTCCCTTACCACATAAATAAATCATAATCATAACAAGGGCATTTGGTATATCTGTCTAGTTATCTTTTAAACATCAAAACTTATGGCAAACTGTTAAAATTTGGACAAACGCATTAGAATTGCGGATGACAATCGCTGCACATCATATTATATCACGTGCATGATAAAAAAAAAAATTTCTTAAACGTTTCATAACATTTTACTAAACACATTGTCCGTTTAGTTGGAGGATTCGTTCTCTGATTCAAATTATAATTCATGATTCGTTACAGTATTTTTTCTCACAAAAAACACACGTAAATCGAAAATGATTCTAATAGAATACACACCATTTAAGCGTTGTTGTTGTTGTTTTTTTTTTTGTTTTTTTTTTTGTTTTTTGTGGTGAAAAGTAATTAACGGTGGCTTGAAGAGAAGTGAAAACGGTAACGGTCTTCTCTCTCTCTCTCTCTCTTCCTTTTTCTTTCTATTTTCTTATTTACAATTAATTTATTAATAATGAAGACGAAACTCGCGGGAAATACACCTTTCCAGGATATAAAAAAAGGAGTGTTTTAGGCGTAATAATGCCAGACTTGTTCAACGGCCACGCCTCCATTTTCCAGTCCATGCCAATTGCCAAACAAAGAAACTGCTTCTTTCTTTTCTTTTCCTTTAGCTTTACTAAATACTAAGTCGTTACAAAACTTACAAAAAAATCCCATGATTCCACCTTGGACTTTCCGTTTTCTTTTTCATTTTTTCTTCTCACCTCCCTGTTTTTCTTCTGTTTTTAGACTCGGTACACAAAATTAGAGTCTTGAAACACAAAAACCACCTTCTTCCAAAAAAAAAAAAAAAAAAAAAAAAAAAAACTTTTTTTATTTCAAAAAAAAAAAAAAAAAAAAAAAAAAAAAAACTTATTTTTTTCTCAGGTGTTTCTTGACAAGGCACTTGTTCCAGAACCTGTAAGTTGTTTTTTTTTTTTTTGGACATGGGATTTCTCTATCTTTTTCGTTTCTGTTGAATCTTTGCCTTGAATGCCTTTTGGTTATCTGGTAATTCTTTGACCATATGACATACAAATCCTTAAGTTTTTTTCTGGATTTCTAGGAATTCATAAGCAATACTATATAGCTAAGAGAGTATAATTTTGTACTGCAAAATATAGCTTTTGACGTATTTATTGTCCGTTGAATTCTTTGGAGAGTAGAATCAACCAAGTCTCTTCATTGTTGGTACTTCTTTTAGATGTGTTTTGCTCTTGGTTTTGTCTTCTAACTTATTTGATATGCTTTTTTTTTTTCCCTCTATGTAGGACTTGGCTTGTTTTCTTTTGGTGTTTCATCTTGAAGATTAGATTCCAGTTATTTATTTTCCAAAGGAACCCGAATCATAATCGTTTCAATTGCATAACTGGAATGGAACAATTCCGGCATGTCGGAGAGATCCTCGGGAGCCTGAGGGCTCTAATGGTTTTACAAGACGACATTCGGATCAACCGGAGCCAGTGTTGTTTGCTACTTGACATATTCATATTGGCGTTCGACACAATCGCGGATGAGATAAGGCAGAACCTGAAATTCGAAGAGAAGAATTTGAAATGGAAAGCTCTTGAGCAGCCATTGAAGGAGCTCCAGAGGGTCTTCAAAGAAGGAGAGCTTTACGTTAGGCACTGCATGGATTCCAAGGACTGGTTGGGCAAAGCAATTAGCCTGCATCAGAACAAAGATTGCATCGAATTTCATGTCCACAATCTGCTCTGCCATTTTCCTGCCATTATTGAGGCCATTGAGAATGCAGGGGAGATTGCAGGGCTTGATCAAGAAGAGATGAAAAAGAGAAGGGTTGTGCTTATGAAAAAGTACGACAAAGAATGGAACGATACGAAGCTTTTCCAATGGCGATTCGGAAAGCAGTATTTAGTCCCTAGAGATATCTGCAAGAGATTGGACAGTGCTTGGAAGGAAGATAGATGGAGACTTATTGAAGCACTTCAGGAGAAGAGAAATTCAATTTCTTCCTCCTTGACAAAGAATGAACTAAGGCTTGTGGATTTGTTGCTTAATAAACTCAATGGACCGGAGTCTAATCGGGGAAAACTCTTCCCAAGTTCAATTCTATTGGGATCAAAGGACTACCAAGTTCGACGGCGATTAGGGGGCGGAAGCCAGTACAAGGAAATCCATTGGTTGGGGGAAACTTTTGCCTTAAGGCACTTTTTTGGTGAGATTCAACCCTTGACAAGTGAGATTTCTAACCTCCTTTTTCTTTCCCATTCCAATATCGTGCAATACCTTTGTGGATTCTGTGATGAGGAGAAAAAGGAGTTTTTTCTTGTTATGGAGTTGATGAGCAAGGATCTTTCATCCTACATGAAGGAGAATTGCGGTCCAAGGAGGCGGGTTTTGTTCTCACTTCCTGTTGTGGTTGATCTCATGCTCCAGATTGCAAGAGGCATGGAATACCTCCATTCACAAAATATCTATCATGGAGAGTTGAACCCTTCTAATATCTTCCTCAAGGTGAGGAACTCCAGTGAGAGCTATTTGCAGGCTAAGATCTCGGGGTTCGGATTATCATCCGTGAACAAGAAATCCAATCCTCGAAACTCACCAAACCAAAACGCGACGGTCGATCCCTTCATTTGGCATGCCCCGGAAATTCTAGCCGAGCAAGAACAACAACAGCCGGGGAGTAACTCTAGCTCCAAGTACACAGAGAAAGCAGATGTCTACAGTTTTGGGATGATTTGTTTTGAGCTCTTGACTGGGAAAGTGCCTTTTGAAGATGGACATCTTCAAGGAGACAAGATGAGCCGAAACATTAGAGCAGGAGAGAGGCCTCTTTTCCCACACCCTTCACCAAAATACCTTGTCAACTTAACCAAAAGATGTTGGCAAACCGACCCGTCTCAGCGTCCTAGTTTCTCATCCATTTGTAGAATCCTACGCTACATCAAGAAATTCCTTGCCTTGAATCCCGAACCAGCCCTGCCGTTAATGCAATCACCTTCGGTAGATTACTACGACATAGAGGCGGGGTTTCTCAAGAAGACATTGGCAGAAGGGTGGTGTTCTGATGTTTCCTCAGTGTCACAAATTCCGTTTCAGATGTTTTCTTATAGACTTTCTGAGAAGGAGAAGACTTGCACAACAAGTAAAGATATTCATCACCATGAGTTGATAAGCGATACGAGCTCGATTTGTAGGGATACAGCCTCAGCCTGCAACGATGAGTATGCGACTGTGATGGAAGATCATACAGTGCCAGCAATCGATACTAGGTCGGTTTGCTCCGAGACACCGATGAAGAGTGCTCCCAAGAAATGTACAGAAGTGAAGGGTAGAAAAGGCTCAGGTCAGTTTTCACTAGTGAACTTTAGTCCATTTCTGCATTCATCAGCATATGGCAAAAATTATTAGAAGTCTGAAAAATGTTTGGTTTGGTTTCTTAGGGACACCAAAAACTCAAAGGCCGAGAAAATCGCCGTTGAATCCAGGCGGTCGGAGTTTGAAGATGAACGGAGATGGTCAGGTGAAGTTTGTTACGAGTCCTTTGAGACAAGGAAGAAGTAAAACTGGTCATGTCTCGGATTCAGAGATACACTAGCTTTTCTTCAACTGCACTTGGACATCAAATGTTCTAGTTGTTAGGCTTCCAAGCCTTCCACTCTTTTTTATTTATTTTTTTCAGGTTACGGAAGGATATCAACTATAATTCTATGCATACAGATGTTGCTTTTTTGTAAGCCTTGAACAAAATTTGCAGTTTTGTCTAAAAAAGGTAGTCATGGTGAAATTTTCCCTTCTCCGTTGCATACGTAGTTTTTTTGTATCATGGGACAAAGGTTTCAAGATGTAATGGTAGATTTTTGTTTTCTTTGTACAGTCTACCTTTTTATTTTCCTCCTTTTGTATCCTACATTTTTATTCTCTCAGGTTTAAATATTTATTATCGTTCCTAGTCTCCTAGACCATAATTTATATACTTCGTCTTTAGGTTTCTTTATGCTTGTTTCGAGAAATATGGCCATTAATTCTGCTCCTTTATGATTCTTTTCCAATTGAGTGTCATTCTCTTCATGGATTCACATTTTTGCCCATGATATCAGACAGATTGTAGTTGCATCCAAATTAAAACATAGAATAAGACATTCATTTAAGATGCATGCATTCCACTAAATCCGGCAAAGATCAAGACAGATACAAGAGAATGTCTTGGTTCATCATAATTTTGTATTAATCAAAAACTCAGAAAATTTACGAGCTGAGCTTCGACATTACATGTTACAGATACAAGTAAAAAGGAATTTCTAGTCGAATTGTTTCTAATTTGTCTCCAACTCTCAAGAATTTAATAGTAATACTAATAATAATAATAAAAAATAAAAAAAAACTTAATTACAAATGCCATTCCTCCACTAAGAACTACTATGGACACGGTGGAATAATCTTGCACGTCACAGGAACAACTACAAAAAGATGGTCACAAAATGGTACCATATGTCTCTTGTTTCTACCACTTGATTCCTGATCTGCTCTGCTGACACTGCTGATCTCAGAATCCTGTTCTCACATTGACCTTGATAATATAATTTCAAATTTTAAGCACCAGCTCTATTTCAATGCAATCCTTGGATCTTTCCGTTATTGCTCACTTGGAGCTCTAGTTTCAACGGAATCTCGATATTGTGCCGCAATCTTCTGATTATAGTTTGAGTCAAGTTTCCATCCATCTGGCAATTCATTCAGGCAAGGTATTTACATTCAAAATGGTCTACCATATTCTCGATGATTTTACCCTTCGTCCCACATGGATGGGCAGAATCCAAGGCAGATGTCAAAGAGCGAGTGCATTCATGTCAACTCGATCTCCAAGTCTCCAACCAAACTGGTTTCGGCTCTAAGAATGAGCCCCAATCAAAAAAATGGTTAGCTTTCAACTGCTCAAGGACAGGTGAAGATGGATATGAGACCTTAGTTGATGTTAAACGGGTACATTTCCTTAAACCATCTGCAACACTTTTATACAACCACTTGAGTTGGCAGCAACAACCATTTCTGATTTCCCTCTCCAGCATACACTAGAAACAAACTGGCCGTTATCGTCATCAGTCTCTTTTCCAGAAATTGAATCGATGGAGCCAAACTTGTGAGAAGTAATCGGCATAGGTAGTGATCTGTAGTAAGCATAAACCTGGGGAGGGGGAAAAAATACACAGAGAGTCATTCATAAAAGTTAAAGAAGTTGGCTATATTTTGATAAAAGGGTGAATATTAATGACATAATGCAGGAAAGTAAAATTTCATCAGTTCTACATTTTCCCTTATCTGGATATTAAAAAGAGAAAAATGACACAATCGTGCATCAAGTACCTCGTTGGTTTCTGAACCACATGCTATATAACCATCAGCAATTGACAAACCCACAAAGTTCTGAAGAAAACATCAAACATAATCAGCCAACCATAGGTAAAATGGTAAGAAGTGAGATTCTTAAAGAAGTGGAAACAAGAATTAGATCCTAAACTTATTGTCAAGAAGGCAAAGAAAAAAAATACACAAACACACGCACACATGTACAGAACCATATAAATCCAGATTCTAGCATAATGAACAGCTTAAAGTTTCAAGGGAGGAAAATACAAATAAATTAATAGAAAAATTAAACCTTTTCATTAGTGTGCCCGCTAAGTGTTAAGCTGCAAGCATTGGGGGAAAGTCCAGCAGAAGTGGTTTTACTGAGATCCCATAGCTTTAAGGTGTTATCAGTGGACGCAGAAACTAGGGTCTCAGAGTCCAAGAATTTCACATAGCTCACAGCTTTGTCATGACCAGCCAATACACACCAGGCTGTTTTAGCATATCGAAGATCATAGCAATAGGTTTTGTAATCCGCAGAACCAAATGCCAGCAAGTGAGTGGAGTGCGGAGAGAATTGAACACAGCAGACATTTGCAATGTTCCTGATAGTTCCTAAAGAATTTTTCTGCACCAAAAGAGAGAAGGGGGAAAAAAAAAAGATAATGCTAATATTGAGCAATAGTACGAAAACCGCTAATATTGAGCAATAGTACGAAAACCTTGAGAGAGAGAGAGGCCTAAGATGTGGATCCGATATTATCATGGTAAGTGCTTTCTATTACTCTCCAGTTCGTGAGTGTAAGTGTATGCAGTGAGTGAGAGAGAGAGAGAGAGAGAGAGCATACATCATTAATGCTCCACAATTTCACAGAACAATCATCACTTCCACTGGCTAATTTTGTGGGATCTACTTGTGAAAAGTCCACAGACCACGCTCTTTTTTCATGCTCATTGTATTGAGAAAAAGCCTGACCAGTACTAGCATCCCACAGCTGAATATTAAAAAAAAAAATCATGTCATAAAAAAACGAAAGACAGTTTCTCGTTAAGGCATCATGTTATGGTAAATAGAAGCAAATTAAAATAGGAAAAAAAATGGAAAAAACAATATTTCCTGTCACCATCACTTAACATCCTTGTAATGTTACCAATTAATCCTGCAAGTATAGTAAAGCTGAATGGGTAGGGAATGGTGCAGTAACAATAAAACACAACACAAGAAGTCTTTCAAAAGAATAGATAATAAAATTTGAATACTCTCTAATACACAAGATACAAACCTTGACTGCACCGTCATAATCAGTTGAAGCCAAATAGTTTTTGATATAGTTGTTCCAGCAAACACAACTGAGCTTTGATCTGTTTGCCATCTCGATCGCTGGATAATGGATGTCCACAGAATCATTAAAGAGAGAATTAAATTCAAATATCTTTATTTTCTTCGAGACGCCAGCAGCTGCAAAGTACTCTTCATCCCTATCGAAACTCAAGGAGCATATTACATTAGAGGAATTGTTGAATTCCCCATTTCTTAGTACTCCGCGCACTTCAAACTTACTGTAATGAGCGTACTTGCACAAGCCATCAAAAAAGACTCCCAGACGGTCAGTTGGAATTTGTTTCTCTTCATCTTTCTGTGTCAAATACCAATTCTCCCGATTTCTCAACAACTCCTTGTCTTGGCGTACTGTTACATCATTCTCAGGGAGCTGAATTTTGGATCTCATAGAGAAGTAAGCACTTTCAAGCTGACTGATACTTTTCATTAACCTCGACTCATTTGCATCAGGAACAGTGGATAACTGAGAAAGCTCATCTGAGCTTGAAGGTTCTTTATGAATAAATGTATTTAACCTTCCACGGACAGAAGAACCACCATGCAAACAAGAACGAGCCAAGTCTCCTTTGGGCTGGTGCCTTCTCTCAACTTCTTCAATATCTGCCTCTAAGCACCGTATGTCTTCCACTAACTTAGAGGCATCCTTCTGCTTCTGGTCTTTCAGTGACGTGAGGAAATGCAATAATAAATCTGACTCATTATCATCCTCGTCAATAGATGAAGACAAATCTTCCGCACATGCCTCCCGCAACCCACTAACTACTTCAGATTGCAGGATTTCCCTGTCATAAAGCAACAATTATTAACTAGAACATCGTATCATGGTATAAGATCAAATTAAGGATTAAACTTCAAAATGATCTTTACCCAAATCTAGTCCGACTCCATGAATTCAATTGAAATAAGTGACGAAATGAAAATATTCCCAAAGGGGAGTGCATATGCATAATGCCTAAGGACACTTATAATTCTTTTTAACTTTAATTGAAAGATTACTATAAGAGAAAAATCACACTTCAAAGATCAAGTGGCTTCTGTTATCCTTTGAGTAAATAGAATATATCTTAATTCCGAAATAATGGAAGGAATAACCTTGGCAACCTTGGCAACCTTGGTAGATAGAATATATCTTTCATTATAGTTAACCAAGGAAATAACCTTGGTATCGTGAATGCAGTAAAGATATACATATCTTGAGGCTACTTCAAGTACCAAAAAACTCAGATTTACCAGACAAGAATTCAGGACTACCTTGTTGATGGACGTGATGATGATTCAGGATGAAGTAGCCAGAGACAAAAACCAGCTTCCTTGGAATTTTCTGATAGAAAATTTGGAGGAAGAATCCTATGACGCAAATCTGACATAGCTGCGGCATGTGCGCTATCTGAGTCAAAATGGGCAAGTAACTGAAAGAAACAACCCAAACTAATGCATCAGATTTTTAGTCAATACCTGAATAATTATTTGTTTTAAAAAACTGAAAACTCCTATGCATATAAATAAAAAGGCCACCGAAAAGAAAGCTTAAGGGTGCATTTGGAACTCGTTCCAAAATGATTTTGTTTTTTTGTATGAAAATGAAAATGAAAACGTTTTCAATCTCAGACATAAATCATTTTTGAAAATGCGTTTAGTAGTTTTATCAAGAGATTGTTTTTAGTATAAAAAAATCCATTAATATCTCTTTCTCTCTCTCTCTGCTCAAGAGAGGAGAAAATGGAAACAAAATATGAAAAACGACAAAAAGTCGTTTTTCATTTCTCTCTCATTTTACACTAAACAAAAAAATCGTTTTCATTTCCTTTTTTGTCTTTAATTGTGCCAAATGCCGTTTTCATTTTTTCTTTCTCGAAAAACATGAAAAACAAAAACAAAAACAACTCCAAACACAGCCTAAATGTCCAACTAAATGGTGAAAACACGTAATATGATACATGCAGATTATTGAAGACGTAAAAAGAAATATTGAGGAAATAATTAAAATGCATGCAACTATGATTTCTTTTTCAAACAGTACAAGCCATTGCGAAACTCACAAATACTACAAGAGAACCAGATTATTTTTTTGCCTGGCTGCTTCATAAATTATGGAATTCCTGTTAAGATTCGACTCCTATCAATTCAAAAATGCCTCAAAACAAACAACAATAGCTAGATGTTAAACTCCATTTTCTTTTTATAATTTCACCTGAAATGCTTAAAAAATGCCTACAAAGTACAAACATAGAAGGAGCAGGTGCACAAAGTCCCATCTCCCAACCAAAATAGCTGGAAGTTGAGATAATTTTGTAATAATAAATCAACTAGAACTCCTACAAATAACCTTTTTTGCAACATCAAAATAGATGACTACATTGTTTAGCATGATATAGACACAAAATAAAAGTGAACGAGTATGTGCCTGTTTGCCTATTTTGTTTACAATCATGCCTCAGATCAGAAAAAAAAATTTACAATCATGCCTCAGATCAGGACAAGAAATTTTGTTCTGCAAGTGCAGTAATGATGTTCAGCAAGTTCCGTACCTCAAAAAGAAGCACACCCAGACTGTAGATATTAGATGAAGTTTTGCAGCTGCCCTCGTTCACCTCTTCAGGACTTGTATACCACTTCTCTTCCAACTTCTCACTTGCAAATGCCATATGTTCTCTTGTATTAGAGGCAAGAAGGCTGCCAGACTTGCTTAAAGTCCCATGTTTTGTAACCAGGTCATCTTCGTTGTATTCATTGATGGTATTCTGTTGACCAGCGATGTTCACATGGCCAGGTTTTGCAACTGCCTGTCTGAAGTCTGAATTGGAAGGAAAATGAAGCCACTGCTTAAGAGCTCTTGCATTTTGACTCAACTTTAACTTCTTTGCCGACAAACCAACCGAGGAAAAAACATTCTGCTCCACTTGCCTTTTACTGGGCAGGTTACTCTCCGGTAAAGAAATATCTTGATCTATCAGACTCTGTGATATTTCTTTTCGGACAGGCGATCTGAGGTACTTGACCTTATTTGAAGGCAACAACTTGAAATAAGATGGTCTTAAGCTAGGCAAGGCAACTCCTTGTGTATGAGAACAATCCACCAGTTCCACAATCTGTCTAAATACATACAAGCGCTCCATTTTATTCACTTGAGAACGCCCAACTTTCAGCCATTCTCTCAAATTAACTCCATCGCAATCAGAGGCCCCAGCCCTGGATCTGGTGTTCGGCATGTGGGAAGGCTGATTAACAATTTTAGCATCGTGATTCTGTAATGCATCAGAAGCTGCTACATTTCCACCAGCAAGCTTTGTAGTATTCCGATCTCTAGACTCAAGATGGCAGCCATCTTGAGATGGGCCCTTGAATATGATCCCCTTGCCTTTCAAGGTGTTTTTAACAAAAAACTCGGAAAACCCTGATTTAGATAGAATCTTTGTCCGGATAGAGCCAGGAGCATTAGCTGAAATCCCTCTATTCTCAGAATTTGTCAATTCTTCCACAACTTCATTGTGATTATCATTGCAAGACTTTTGAGCCAAAAACTCAGGGAAAGAGGAGTAACCCACATCCTCCAAGCTACTAGTCATTCTCTGACCATTGTCCCTGTATGCAGCATTTCCACGTGAACTCCCACTACCTGATCCACCTGCTAACTGATATAGATGTTGCCACTGGTTTTGTCTAGTCTGCACTCTACCTAAACGTAAACTGGTCGATGTACCAACAATAGCTAAACTGGAACCATTGAAATTTCTTACATTTAATTCTTCCACCGTGACACCAGCATCATCCAAGGAGCGAGGATTATTATTATACGGGTGTTCTAATGAGTTTACATGGCTTATACCTCCAATGTTTTTAGTATCCAACATGTCTCCAAATTCCTGATGTGAGCTTTTCGAATAATCGTTCTCACCTGGTATTAGCATTTCATGTGATTCTAACATGTTGCAGCTTTCAAGTCTTGTAAAATACTCACTATCCTTTCCCTGAAGGTGACCACCCTCGGCTGCATCCAGCGGAGTCACCTCCTCCCCCACCCCGTCGTCCATTCTTTTAAACCGACCTCATTCACTCAAATTCTTGAACAGCCTTTGCACTGTCAATGGACTAGAGACCGGTCAGGAACCATACAAATTAGTCACACTACTATAGTTATGCAGAGAAGAAATAGCAGTATCAAGATGCCAAACAGTATTAGGAAGTTTAAGTAGTCCCTCAGTTAGCGTTCTCTTTTCAGGAGCGGCACAAAAGTTTTAAATGTATAAATTTGAAGGGGAGAGAAAAAGATTATGTAGGTAGTAGGTCATAATCTTCTGTAGTACCTGGACAAAGATCATGTAATGTTTTCCCAAGTATAAAACATTATAACAAACTTAAACCAAACACGTTATGCTCATAATCAATATTTCAAAAGTAAACATACTGACAACAGCGCCAGAATACATGATTGACGAAGCCAACCAACCATAAAAGGAAAACTTCCATAATGATAATGATCAAGCACACAGGCCTCCAATTCTTGTGTAAGAGACCAACCACGATTATACTCCGTTTGGTTGCCAAGAAAACAAAAGAAAGTGGAAGAGAGAATAATGGCCGTGTTTGGAATTGATCCCTTTTTGTTTTTCACATTTTTTAAGAAAGAAAAAATAAAAACATTTTCAAAACGGCGTTTAGCATGATAAAGACTAAAGTCATTTTGCATTTTTTATTTTCGTTTTCCCATATCTCGAGCAGAGATACATTAATGAATTTTTTTATACCAAAACGCATTTTTAAAAATAATTTCTCTTAAAATTCAAAACGTTTTCGTTTTTATTTTCATACAAAAAAACAAAATCATTTTAAAAATTCCAAACGCGCCGATAATTCTCATTTCTCAAACTCACGCCAAGACACAAGAATCACTTAGCTCAATGAGCAGTCAATAACATACAAACATAGAAGCACAAATCACAAAAACACCGCCATTATTTCTACCATTTTCTCGGCAGACAAACAGCACAAAAACCAATTAAAGGAACTGAAAACACAAAAGATGTAAAAATAGAATCGAATTAAGCGCATACCTACACGAATTCCATCCGAGAACGAAGCAATCGACAGCGAAAATCCGTGGGAATTGAGAACTACAGAATACAATTCACAGAACTAGCAAAATCGCAAAACCCTAAAACAAAGACAAGCCAAACAGAAGCTCTTGAGAAAGAAAGAGAGAAGAGTAATTAAAGCGATAGAGAGAGACGCATGGTGGTATTTACCGGAAAATGGAAACGAAATATCTCTTTTGCGTAACCTCACATCCTTCAATTTTTACAGATAATTTTCTCTCGTTTTCTTATTTATTTTTATTTTTGTGAATTTAATTTGTTAATTACGTTTTTTTTCTTTTTTACACTGTAAATTATTTAACAATAATTAATGTGTTATGATAATAAATCCTACATTTACCATAAAGTAATCTTAAATTTAGAAGGAGAAATAAAAAACATCATTTTATATTAATAAAATTAATACAATACAATAAATCTTGGATTAAATTCAAAATTTATAAATAAACACGTATGTGTTTTAAAGGTAAATTTTAAATTTATATTAAATTCAAAATTTACAAAAAAAATAAAAATTGTATTTTGATGATAAATTTTAAATTTACATTGTAAATATAAGATTTATAGATAACAAAGTCTTTATTTTTATAATAAATTTTAAATTTAAGAGTAAAACTGAAAAATATATATATTATTAGTATAATTTTGAATTTATCATGTAAATTTAAGATTTATAAAAGAACATAAATTATATTTTAATTGTAAATCTTAAATTTATGATTTGCGATGAGATAGAGATAAGCAGAGTAATAAAGAGAGAAAAATAAAAGATTTAGAGAGAAAAATAAAAAATAAAATTTAAAATTTAAAAATAAAAAATTCAAAAACATAAAAAAATATATTAATTTTTATACATTAATAAATTAATTATTTATTAAAATAAATTTTAAATATAGACCTATTTTCTAAAATTTTTCTAAAATGAAACCCGTCAAATAATAAATAAATAACAATAATAATATTTAAAATTATCCGGTGAGGCTGTAACACGGGAATGGTGACGTACAGTGCAACGTACGACCAGTATGGAGTATGGAGTGCTAAACAAGAAGTGACCATGATTACATCACGTGGACCTGCATGGGGCCAGGGCTTTTGGAAGGCTGAACACTTGGTTCACGTTGCGCCACGTCATTGCCAATGTGTTTGAGTCCACAAAATGGCTGAATTGTATTGGTAGCTGAGTTTTATTTTTTATTTTTTTATTTTTATTTATTTTTTGGGCGAACTCGGTGGGCTTGGAAGTTTGACCATATCCGTCTATTAGAAACCTGAAAAGGGTATTTATTAAGGGTGTTTAGTTCGTTGATTTGAGTTTTTAATTTGAGTTGAGATTTGATTTTATGTGAAAATTTTTTACTGTAGTAAAAAAGTTAAATATGATTATTTATGAGAGCTTTTTACTGTAGCAAAACTCGAATTATAAACTTGAATCAGCGAAATGAACGGGGCCTAAGTAGACGTTTGTTTTCTGTATTCGTCACTGATTTTGAATCATAATTTATGATTTTTTATAGTGTTTTTTCTCACAAAAAATACACGTATTATGATTTTAAATTTATGAACCAAACGTACTCTAAGAATGAGATGTCAAAATTATTTTTAAAAGTAAATTTTATAATTTTCTCATAAGTTTATTTACATCGGACCGGGCCGGCTGAAATGACTTATTTTTAAATTTTTTTTAAATACTTTCTGAAATTCTGGGTCGAATCTAAGCTGATCAAAATTTATCTCCGAGTTAGACTGACCAAAGCCTAAAATTTCTATTTGAGCTTCCATGCCCTAGTCAAGAGGCCATAATTTTCATCTCTAATAAATAGATACCACATTTTGAATACCCTTTTAATCTATAATCTACACCATATAAAAAGTATGAATGTTTTAACTGTAACTCAAAATACAAATATTGTTTAAAGTATTGGTTCCTCTATTTTGTCTTTTTCCCCTCTCTCTCTCTCTCTTTTTACTTTCTTTCTTGGCCTTTCATTTCCTCTCCTTTTTGTACACTTTAATGAATTTTCTACTTGATTCACCTGAATAAAAGAGTTTCATCAATAATATATTATACTTATCTATACATATATAATATTTGACTTTTAACACAAGTTCTATTGAAATGTGTATTTTCGCATATCTCCTTAAAATTTTTGTTGTTAAATAGATAAAACAATTAATAATCTCATAATAAAATGTTAATTTGTTATTAAAGTTCTTATATATAATACTTCACACGTGTGAAGCACATGTTATCCGAGTAGTATTATTATCGTATGTTAGTAACAAAATGTACTTTTAATATTATTATATGAAGATACTAAGTAGCTGCAAGTATTTTATCATAATAATGAGGCTTAGTTTGGTAGTGCTGTGAATTTTAGAAAATTTATTTTTAGTTGTATTAAAAAAAATAGTTATTATAAGAAGCAGCTGAGTGTTTGGTAAATTATAATTATAGTAGTTGTGTTGGTTCTAAAATCAATGTAATAGCGTTTGGTAAATTTTAAGGTTGAATTACTGTGGGTATGTAAAATGACAAAAATAGACATGGTATGAAACTTAAATATAAATATATTTTTTTTTTGTATTTAGAAATACTTGTTTAGCTTAAAAAACATAATGTTATGATTCTGAGTTTTCTAACAATAAATTTATGATAATTAATTCCTTTTTTTTTCATTTCTTCATTCACAATATAGTTACAACAAACAGGAGCATTAGTGAGTAATCAACCTATACAACAAAAATGTACATTCTATGTTCAAAAACTGGTAGAGGTATTAAGAGAATTACGTAGTGCTCGTTAAACTTGCGGCAACTTGATCTCGTACTTCATCCATTTCTTGTGATAATAAAAAAACTAGTATTTCGATTTTCTTCTACATTGTCCTCAAGTTGATTGTCTTCATAAATGATACCATCAGGATCCACCTCAAGGAGTATGAGACCTGAGGCCGTGTCAACGACGTAAAAGAGCAAATGAGACAAACTGCAAATCTTACTGATTAGATTACTTGTCACCTAACACTGACTTTAAGACTTTCGCTCTCCACAAAATGGCGATAAATCCTCATGGCCTTAGCAGTTGTCATGTTCTCGGCACATGCATAGAAGGGCATTATATGGTCTACGACCCACTCAAAATTGTGGTAAATGGTATATTTCTCCTTTATATGGTCTAAAAAATCCTTTCAATTGTGGATATCCCACGTCAACCAAATAATATTTACCTATTGAAATAAAAACACATGAATGGATGACATGTAAAAATTATATTACAAACATCACTCTCCTCAGTGAACAAACAAACAAACATTTGCACAAACGCTTTTCAAATCCGTAAAGGTTACACCAAATTCAGAGTAACATCATAACAACCACCAAATTCATAACAAACACCACATTTATGTACTGGTGAAACCGTTTGAAAGTAAAGAAACTCAAATAACCTCATTTTAGCAAAGAAACTCAAATTTATGTACTAATGAAACCATTTGAAAGCACCAAATTTATGCATTTTGTTCCTAGAGCAAGGCTGGTTGAGATAGAGATTATGCCTTCTAATCACAACTGCAAACAAGCTAACCCGATTGTGAAATGCGAAAGAATTAATGAATGCATACTTCATAATACATGTTCAAAATCTATTAATAAATTTAAATAAGAAAGTAGGTGAAATACACACATATAATTACACAAGCGGACTTCTTTTTTGCTGAGTCCCCCTTTGACAAGTAATATGCTAATTGGACGGAGATAACAAAAAAAAGGGTGAATCAACTTCCCCATCCCTAACCTCTCTACCTCTGTTGCCAAAAACTTGCACCACAAGGTCGGGGAAAAAAGAAAAAGTGGAAGGTGAACCAAAGCCCACAATAAAACCACAACCACACTCATTTATCTCTTTTTCCTATTCCCTCCTTTTTTTTCATCATCGTCCTGCCTTGAACCCAACTTCCAATCCTTCTACAAGATCTCTCTATCTCTCTCTATTTGTTTTCTACCAATAGAATAAAGAAACAGAACTACCATCCCTGTTCTTGTGCACAAGAATAGCCAAACCACGTGTAAGCTTTATTTTCGAAATGCACAATCCAAAAACCTCAGAAGCTGTTTTTCTTGTTTCTCAAGTCTCTAAAATGAAAATACCACAGCCTAACCATCCACGATTTCTTTCCTCTTCTTTCTAATTTTACATTGGTACACTCATCAATGATGTAATTCAAGCTAATGTGTAAATTGACACAATTACAGTTTTTGCTTCAATATGAAAGGTGCTAAGCTAATGTGTGTCAGGTGGCTAACATTAAGAACAAAGCTAATGTTATCTACTTAGAATAACCTATAACATAATGTTTAAGTAGTGAGTACTTTAGTTAACAACAGTTGTATATATGTTATGGCAGATGTTTTAATCTTTATCTTTCTCATTTGGATTTTCCAAGCCGATTTTTTTCTTAAAAACGTGGCTGCAAAAAATCAAATTTTTTTTTAATTTTGTTTTACATACTTTGTAGCTAGCTTGAACCCTTAACTAGCTTCCGACTACTCTCAATCATTTCAAACGACTCATTTAATCTCTCCATATTATCCCACAAACTCCCTATCATCTTTCTTTTCATGTTTCCCCTTCCCAAAATAAATACCCTTCACCACCACTAGTGACACAACTAGCTAGCTAATTTCAAAGCAAAGTGTCATCACAATTAGACATACATAAAACATCACCACATCTTTACTTTGTGAGAGAGTTTGATCATCCTCATAATCATCATAAAAAAAATTGAAAAAAATGAAACATGTTTGAGGCAGAAATTTTTACAGCGGAAGTCAACAAGTTACAAAGGAAATCAACAAGTAAACAAGTTGAACGTTGATTCAAGGTAAAGGGTTAACCACCGGATTTTCTTCACAGAGCAGAGGAAAAAAAAGTTTTTCTTCACCGTTTCTGAAACAATATGCACGAAAGATTCAAATGCTTAAATATGCACGAAAGATTCAAATGCATAACCTATACTATTATCCAAGTATGTGAATACCCATAAAATTGAGTCAGAATCCGGTTAAAACAAAGGGTTTACATAAGAGAGAAATAAAAAATTTTCACAAAAAATCCATCAACCCAGAGAACACAACCAAATCAACATTCAAAAAAAAAAGCTCAATGGAGTACTCACAGAGGTTATTGCG